AGATAGATAGATAGATAGATAGATAGATAGATAGATAGATAGATAGATAGATGTGTGCCGTACGTTGATCCAGAGGTAGTCGTAGTTGCGCTTGACGCGGTGCTAGATGCAGGAGAGTTGTCATTTGTTTTATAGACAAGTTGTACCTGGAGGTCTGCGGGCAGGTCGTAGTACTTCATTTCGGACGAGATGACGTCCATGCGGTTCCGGAACGTGGAACTCTGCTGGTCCCAGCTACGCGCATTCGTCAGTCGTCCGTCCCAAGCGTGTCTACCTCAGGAGCAGCGTGAGCGTGTGGCCAAAGAGGAGCGCGCAGTTGAAGACACCAAAGAGCGCAATGAACGAGCTATTGACGCATCCTCGGTTCCCAGGTCCATCAAAAGGGTTTTTTTATGGACTCGCGCGCACCTGAGCGTATACATGTGCGGTCGATACGACTCGAACGGCGACGCGAGCAACGACGACGTCTGGAACGAAGAGGCTTCGGCGATGCCAAGAAAAGTGAGGAGGACGCTGTGGAACGACTCGGCGTAAATACTCGAGGCCTAGTCCTTCTTCTAGAATCACAAAATAGGGCGATAAAGGCGCACCGTGTCCCAGTCGCTGCAGACCGGCACGTCGCCGTAGCAGTTGTTGAAGACGTTGACCCAGATGCAACTAGAAATGAAACGCATGTCAGATCTGATTTCTGAGACGAAAGATGCGACGGACGTGAAGATGTGGAGGCCGAGCGACATGGTGATGGCGGTGACGAGGAGGTGGTAGTACTTGGCGTACTGCCGCATGTACTTGAGGAGGACGCCAAAGCGCAGCAGCTTGGGAATTTTCTGGAGCTTGAGGATCTTGACCGACGTCTGCCGCTTGTTGCTCGACGGAATCACGTAGCTGAGTGGAAAGTTCGAGACAAAGTCGACAATGAACCACGTGCGGAGGTAGTGCCGCGCCACGACGCGGGCTTCCATGTGCAGCTCGCCGTTCGCAAAGTACCCGGTTCGGAACGAGAGCACCATGTCTATGCCACGTCAACCGCAATCTCAATCTTCCTCTCTCAATTGAGATCATCTACCGCAGACAAAGCACGCGTCCAAGAACGACTCGAACGATGCGACGTTCGGGCCCCACGCGACAAAGTCAAAGCCGAGCGACGCCGGTGTCTACGCTCAATCTCAATCTCAAAACGCAACACGAATAGATGGATATACGATGTACCATGACGCAGACGTAGATGACGGCAGCGGCGATGCTCAAGTCCCACACGCGCCGAAAGCTTGAATTAGGGTGGACCATGAACAGCTGCGGCAGCGCGCGCCGGTGGTAAATGTCGATGGTTTCCACGTCGGGGCGCGGCAGCGTGAGCGACACAACGCGCTGCCAGAGCGCCTTGGCGCGTCCGTTCTCGCTCGGACGATGCTCGTCCTCGTCGCCCGGTGGCACATGGCCGACGCCTGGACCTGGCGCCACCTTGCTGGCGCTCATAGCAACTGCCTCGCCGTTACCAACTGAAACGGAGATTGAGAAAGGACGAGCTTGACGACGAGTTGTTGTTTCTGACGAAGCACCTGTATGTTGTAGAGCGTCGGTTGAGACAGTCGAAGACTTGGTACTGAGGTCGACCCTTTCGTCTTCTTGGGTGAGTTAAGTTGAGAAGCGTATGGATTCAGGACGGTCATCAACTCAACTACTCGAGCTGAACGAGATGCCGAAGCGAGGCCACCTGCGATGAGACTCGTTCTATAGTAGACCGTACTCTTGACAACGTTGTTGGTTTTGCGAACTATTACACTAGCGCGATTCGGGGGAGAGAGGTGACACGTGAAGCGACGGCAACTCGGTGGGATTTTGGCTAGAGGACGTAGGCAGGCGCGCAAGGTCGGTGTGAAGCTGCTGCATCGTCGTCTGCAGAGCCGCCATGTAGGTCGGCAGCGCTGCAATGGACGCCTCGACGACCCGGAGACGCTGGGCAATCGTGTCCAGACTCGGCTTTGGCTCGACAGTGTCCACCGGTTCGGCCGAGCGCCGCGTCGCCGCGGGTGGTCTCTTGGCCAGTCCCAATTTGGTTGTGTCTTGGGTCACGGCGCGCACACCGGATGACGCAACGTTGAGCGTTCGGTGCGCGCTGCTTCGTTTTCGGCGGTTGGGGCGAGTGACGGGGATCGCAGTCGTCGAGTCTGCCGTCCTGTGCTGGAGGCGCTCGGCGATGCGCTTGAGCTTGTTGCCCGTCTTGCTGGCTTGGCAGTAGTGCCAGTACGGCGACGAGGCGTCGCTCGCTCGCTTTGCAAGCGACTGGTCGACGACCGCGTTCAGTTCGCGCTCGATCACGGCCTTGTCCGCGTCGTTTGAAATGTGCTACGCAATTTCAGTTGCGATCCTATGGGGTCGAATACCATGTTGTCCATCTGTCGCTGGATCACGATGCGTTTCATTTTCTGGAAAAAATCTGGAAATTCCGCGACAATCTCGTCAAACGCCTAGATGCCAGATCTGGTCCCGAATCCCAACTCGTGTCGTCGTACCTGCTTGTTGAGGACGTTAAGGTCCGTGACGGTCACCGACTGCACGGACGTCGTGCGACGGACTTCGACGACGAGCGCCGTCTCCCCAAAGAAGGCGCCGTCCTTGAGCAAAATACGTGGTGCCGTCTCCGGCCGAGTTGCAATCAAAACCTCGACGACACCGCGCCGCACGATAAACATCTCCTTCCCGAGGTCGTCGACTTGGATGATGAGATCGCCAGGAAGGTACACGGCCGTCTCGAGCGCAAGGCAGATCTACGCCATCCTCGCTCGCCCTGTCGTAGAAGAAAAGCAGAATCGTACGCGGCCCAGCAGCTTGGCGTTCTCGCCGGCGAAAAACGGGACGGTCTCGAGGAGGTCCCTGTACAGAAAGAGGGCGATCGAAGTCCGAAGGCTCTTGGAGATGCCCCGTTGCGAGAGCAGCGTCATCTCCGAGTACGCGCGTTGCTAATAGATCGACGTTGTGCTAATTTTGTACACGAAATCAATCGGCCGTCGTACGTTGATCCAGAGGTAGTCGTAGTTGCGCTTGACACGGCGCTAGAACGACAATATTAGTGTTAGCACGTGCGACATGCAGTCTACTTGGAGCTCGAGCGGGATCTCATAGTGCTTCATTTCGGCACTGATGACGTCCATGCGATTCCGGAAGAGCGCGCTCTGCTGGTCCCAACTACCCCGACCATCAGAGGTCCACGCCGCGAAACGACATACGCGACCTGATGAAGATCGAGATGATGTTGGCCAAGAAGATGGACAAGCTCACGAGCCCGAGGACGACGATGCAGATCCTAATGCAATCGTTCACGATGGAAAAAAGGGTGCAATGGATGGTGCACGAGAGGAGGTAGACGGTCGGGGTTGCGCGCGCGACCGGGCTCGCGAGGTTGCCGATGCTTGCGTACGTCGAGTACTCGCCAAGCGACGTGTAGAGCATGAGGACGTTGAGGAGCGACTCGAGGTACATGGGCTCCATCTACCACAGGATGAGCCAAGGAGTATCCCAGGCGTCTACTTGGCTGTCGTCGCAGTATGTGCGTTTCGTCACTGCGTCAAAGACGTTTTCGATGCACTGATCAAAGAGGCTCGCCCACAAGCACCTACGTGTTGGCATCGCTCGATGCTTCTCCTCCTTCGTTCGGGCGTATGTACGTGAGGACGTGGAGGCTGATGACGATGGCGGCGACGACCAACACAAAGTTGTAGTACTTGGCGTACTGCCGCATGTACTTGAGGAGGCGGGCGAAGCGCAGCATCTTGGGAATCTTCTGGAGCTTGAGGAACTTGACCGACGACTGGTTCGCATGCGAGTAGAAGAGGTAGAATGGAAAGTTGGAGACGCAGTCAATGAGGAGCCACGACTCGGCGTAGTGCCACATGACGAGGCGCTGGTTCATGACGATCTCGCCCGAGACGAGGTACCCCGTCCGAAAGGTGAGCACCATGTCTAAGGCACGAGCATCGACGCGCTGATGCCGTCGAAGATGATGCAAGTATTACCCGTGACGAAGAAGACGTCAAAGAACGTTCCCAAGGCCGAGAGTCGACTCCAGTCCATGGATTGAAACCCGAGCTCCATGGGCGTCTACAGGCGAGGCTCAGTCGACGACGAAATAAGATTTTAGTCGGACGAGGAGGCAGACGCAAACGACCGAGCACGCGGCGCAGACGTCCCAGACGCGCCGGAAGCCCGAGTTGGGGTGAAGCATGTACGGCGACGCACCCGTGTTGGGCGAGTGGAAGATCTCGATCTCTTCCTTGCCGAGGACGCTTTTCGCTAGGATCAATGGGATGCATGTGGCAAGATGACGTCGTGAACGTACCTGCGCGCGCCATCTGCTCGTTGGGCTCGATGCGAAGTCCGGTCCACGCACGCTCGGTGAAGCTGCGCACGAGCTTACTTGGGCGCCGAGGCGAGCATGGAGCCTCGGCGGGCACGACGGAGGACTTGGTCGTTGTCGTTGCCATCCCGCGAAGCGTTGCGACAAAACGACCAAATCCACACGAAGCTAAAAAGACGCAAGATCGCAGCCGCGTCGCTTGGCAGCGCGTCGAATCGAGAGTTCTGCGCTGTCCACGGTGGCCATCTTGACACTGTTGTCGGCAGATTGCTCGCCAGCGCATCCACCATCCGGCCACGTTGAGGTTGCACTTGGGCGGGTTGCGTGCGTTTAGCCAGAAAGGCCAGTCCCATCAAAATCGCGGTCGCATGGGCGCCGAGCAGCTGATTGACGCGTGCCAAGCACGCCTGGCGCACCCACCGACGCGGACGCACGATGCGCTGGAGCTCTACGCGTCGCAGCTCGAGCAGCAGCTCCACGATCTTCTAGCGGCGCGAGACGCGGAGCAGGCCATTTGCCGAGCCAGCACCGAGTGCACGTTTGCCAAGAACTCGGCCGGGCGCGTCCTCACCGCGCTCTTCGACCACGCGACGGGTGGAAAAGTGGACGGGCTCAAGACATGGTGGGAGACCGGTAGCATCCAGACACGCAGCGGGCCTGCGCACTGGCGTCTCGACCCGAACAGCCTCCGGGACAGGCGCGGGTACTTGCAATATTCCTACTCGTAGCGAGGCTCATGGGCGTAGGTTCACCCTCCTCCACGCGACGGTCGACCGCAGCTTGGCGAAGGAAAGCGCCAAAGTCGCAACGCTCGGCTTCCTCGTCGATCGCATGGGCTTGGACGTGAACGCGGTCGACCTCGTAAACAAATCATCGTCCCGCCTTTTGTTGACGCCGCTGGTAGTTTGGCCGGACGAGCCTCCACTACGCCGCCCTCGCAGGCTACGCCGACGTCGTCGACGCGCTCTTGCAGCGGCAGTGCGACCCGCAGCTTCGCGACAAGGCCGGCTTGACAGCGCTCGGCACGCTTCAGCGCACGACGCTGTCGGCCAACGCGAGCAGCTTCGACGCGATCGTGCAAACGCTGCTGCTGCGCGCCGAGAAGCCGCGCTTTGGCGACGAGCCCACGACCGACGTAGACGGGTTTCCATGCCAGAAAGGGTTGCCATATCGAAGCGTAGGACGCGCTGACCTCGGCCATTGTCGCACTGGAGCGCGTCTTGCCGTTCGTCGCCGATCGCGCGGCGTTGGCCGAGCGCTTGGACGTGTGGCGGCAGTCCCTCGACCTGCCACTCGTGCGCTGGCACGACGTGATGGTCTCGCTCCTGTGCTTGGACGAGGATGGGATGTTTCTTCCGTCGGCCTACCGCTCGCCGGCCTTTCTCATGACGTGGCGCAACCAGGTGCATCTGCTTTGGCGGCGCGTCGAACGGCGTGGGC